GGGAAATTAAGTTCTTTTCTCTATACTGTGAGTGTGTGCCCGTGGATTTACCTGCATCTCGTCTCCACCGTCTTTAATAGACTTTGAACTTCGACTTCGAACTTTGGACTGATTTGAACTTTGAACTTGGAAGGACGAACCTCGGATCAACGTTATAACAACCTAATCAGAGGTATTTATCCTACACGCGATGATATGTAAGCTCTCTCTCGCTATTCGAATATTTCGAACCTCGCGGGTAGGGTCGCGACTATTTTATATTTTGCCGTTACTTTATGAACTATACGGATTGAACCCCGAGAGGAATTTGTATTCCAATTATTAACTATGTATAAATGTACGGAATAAACGGGTATTTTGTTAACGAACTTGGATTGGTGTGCGTTTCTTCCGACAATTTTCCACTCCATACTGAACCCGAAGTCCTCGACGAGATCGCTCGGGATAATTCCCCCATCCATCCGCGTATCTATCCGCGATAAATTGATAGATTGGTGTCAGATCCTGACAGGTGAAAGAATCTAACGATCCTTTCTCCTAACCCTCTTTTTTCCCATCCTTTAGACAAGCGAGACCGGACCTCAAGGTCTTGAGTCGAGTAAGTGGTAGGAGAGGGACATCCTCGTAAACATCCTACCCCCGATTAGTCTCACAATTGTATCGTTAAAAATTATTTTTTTATTTTGTACAAACAAAATACATTTATTGAAAAATATAAAAACAATAAAAAATTATACTTCAGATGTTAATTTAGTATCAAAAACGTAAAATATTTGAGTAGCCCGAGGAATAGCCGAAGATTGCAGCGCCACAGCACTAGCGAAAATTTAAATTTGCCGACTGGAATGCTTTCGGATAACCAGCTTTCGGATAAACGACGCTCTACTGTATTATATTATGTTGTATTATTTTTGTTATTCATTGCTTTTTGTACATTTGTTTCACTTTTTGATTTGTTTTATTTTATTTTATTTTAAATTTTTTGAGTAGAAGAGTTGAGAAAAGCGTTGTCATGCTTTCTTGTTCACTTAGAAATATGTAAAATAAATCAATAAATAAAGTAAATTTTTATGCTATTACATTTACATCATAAAAAATTAAAACGCTCACTTCTCCAAAATGAAATGACTTTTAATAATTAGAAACAGTTTTGCTGTATATATAACTTAATGCTCATATAAATGCTATGAAATTTATTTATTTTTTTAAAGATCTTATTCAGTTTTTAATTAAATACTTTGCTGGAAATCTGTAATCAGTGTTGAAAGAAGAAAACGCCAAAAAATTAGACGTTTTTGTTTTTCAATTATTGATAACTTTAATAATGTCCGATTATGAATAAAATATTACTAAATAACATGCTCTATATTGCGCAGATTGAACAATTAAAACAAACAGAGTCCAGGCTTCGGTTCTGGTGGAACGTAGGATTAAGTTTTCGGTTAGCAACATGCCGAAAAGTGATTTTGAACTTATTCCTTTGTTACTCTTGGTTTTAACCAAAATCTTGATAAATTCCGTGCTTCATAGCGTTAAATCATTACAATCGATATGCAGTGATCCCTCTTTTGCCTGCATTTTCTGGTGATACAGCAGGACTTAGAATAACTGAGTTTTTTGACTCTCTATCAGATCTGGCAAAATTGTTAGGATGGACAAAAGCGCAAATGTTGGCAATAGCCAAGCTGAGACTTACGGGGATAGCCAGAGAATTCGTTCGAAAGGATAGACGAATCAAAGACATTGAGGATTTTGAGGAATATAAGCGTGTTATGCTAGAGCGTTTTGAAAAAGTCCCTTTCCACCTTCGAGTTCATAAATTTTACGCATGTGTACAAAAGCCGGAGGAAGATGTACAGACATATGCAGCGCGATTACAAGCCCTTGCTACCGAAATTGAGATAAAGGAAGAGGGAACAGATGCAGCGGAGACCGCAATGATTAAGCGCATACAGGATAAAGAATTAGACGAAAAATTAAAAGCTCAGTTTCTGAATGGCATACATCTTAAAATCAGACAACGCGTCATGTCACGTGAACCTGCTACTTTTGACGAAGCTCTAAAAGCCGCTATAAGTGAGAAAAGTATAGAAACTCTGACGGCACAGCCCAGTTTCAAAATCAGACCTATAAGGGCAGTTAAATCCGCTACACAGAAACCACCGGAAGAGTGGAAATCAGTAAAAGCGATTGGACGAAATTACGAGCAGGTTGTCCTCTCCGCTATATAGAAAATGCGAGAATCGTCCGACTTCCTATCCTCAACGCAATAGTCTAACCGCACAGAGGAAGCACATAACTACCGACAAATTAGATGTCCCCTCCGAGGAAGAGGAGATGTGGAAAGGCGTCATACGAACGACAAGGACTCAAACGAAGAAGAAACCCATTATCTTAGGTTATGTGAATAATATCCCAGTCAAATTTACTATAGATCCAGAGTTCAATGACACAGTATTGTCAAACGAGGTTGCCAATAAATTAAAAGGGAAGGCCCCGATAAAATTTGAACAACGAAGGAAGATAGTAGGTCCGAATGGAGAATCCATCTCAACCATAGGCATGACTATCCCTATTTTCAAATTTAGAGGACACAAGTTTCCCAAATCGTGCAAAATAGTCCGATCGGAAATCACCGCTCCTTGTGAAGGGATCATCGGACGAGATATAATAAAAGAAGAAGGCCTCATTCTCGATGATGCAAACGAGAAAATAATGTTACTAAATGGCAAAATTGTTCATTTTTGCTGTAAACCTCGACAGAAGCCGAAAACACGAAAATTCGACACAGAGGAAGAAGAGGAGCTTCCTGAAACAATGGTCATACGACTTATGCATCAAGGTCAATCGCATGTCTCCAGGGTGCGAAATGAAGACACACAACCTTACAGAAATAGAAAAAGACGAAGACAAAAGCAAAATCGAAGTCCAGGTAACCTACCGAAAGAGTCTACAATTCCTTGCGATGAGAATAGAATTCAAATCGTCCGAGCCCCGAATCCAACCCCTTCCCACCAAGAAAGAAAAAGAAGAACCTTGGAAAGCAAAGAGGAAATGAGGAAGCATCGAAAGGTTAAAAGAAAAAGAGTAGCGCAACGAGAGGATACGCTTCCTACACACCTACCGAAACCGGAAATCCGTCATCACTCTGACATAGAAATCGTCAGTCCGCCAGACTCAGTCCATCTTCAAAGCGATCTCCTAACTGAAATTATAGATTACATTGACAAGGCTAAGTTTCAATCCAGATTTTATCAGGTTTAGGATTAGTGATAGGACATTTCCCCTAAATTAGATTAGAGAAAAGAGAGAGAGAGAGAGAAATTAGTTACGACAATTTTGTAACACATATACCTGTCACTCCGTTCAACAGGAATAGAAACAAACTGATTTTGTTGCAAACAGTGAAAGTGAACTTTGTGCTTCAGAAGAGACTGATGCCGATTCAACGACCACAACATAGTCTACTAGCATCGAACAACTTAACTACATCGAATGACTTTGAACCGGTGTAGAATTTCTGAACTATCAACAGACGGGGAATCATCAACACGGAAACTGTGACAGTAGGTCAACAGACTCAACAAGTCATCACGATTGTAAATCGCGTCTGTAGTGCAGATTGCACATGTAACGCGTCAACCAATTGTCTTTGTTACATGGAGAAATTATTATTGTCGGGAAACCCATGTGAAAAAAAGAGAGAGAGAGTAATCTAAATTTAAATGTTAAAATTATACTCGAAAGTATAATTTTAAAGAAAGCGGTGAATGGTGTGAAATCCGCGATTTTTACGCCGATGTCGGAAAAATCTTTGTAAACAACTCCGATGGGAAAAACCCACTCTTGGTGAGAAGTATATCGGAGGTCACCGATTGTTTTCACATTAAGGTGGGAAAGTTGACAGTTAGTTGATCGGAATGCACCGTAAGTGTCAACAGAAGTCGATCACGTGACTCATTTCCCAAGAATAACGTATAAAAGCTCGAGTCCCCGAAAGCTCCGGGAGATCCCTCGGAAGTTATACTTGGTAGATGTGCCATATTTGTCTCCATACTCCGGACCAAAAGGATATACGACCAACCACAGCCATTTGAACTTCCATCGCCATTAACGAACATATTCAACGAACGCATATTAGACATATTCGCATAGAGGTATTTGTACTTTTTAGAGCTTTGTGAACTCTCTCAGACTAGCAGGTAAAGCTATTAGAGCGCCCCTTTTGTATAGTGAATTTATTTAATCGCATTTAACCTATGTATCCTAGCTTAGTTATATAATTAATGCTTGTTTAGGTTTTAAACCTGTCTCCTGGACACCTGCCGACTTACCGACGCACTCCCCACTCAAATTTTTGCCCTCCTAGCCATCCGACTGGCCGAGAACGGGTTTTACCAACCTGTTGCAGAGTAAGTGGTCATTTGAAATGAGCCCAATGGCCCACTGCTAATCTCACACTTTATTGAGAAGATTAATGCGATTAAATTTTGGTGGTGAAAAATCGACAGAGTAAGAAGATAAAGGAGGTCGAGGGTCATATTGTTAGTGTGGTCGTACTCCCATAATTTCAAACCATCTTGAATCCTGTGTAAAAAACAGTTACACATTTGATTAACTTTAGGAGCGACCAAAATGCGTTATAATGTCATGCGATAGCCTAACTAATGAGGAACGTGATAATGAAAAACGTTATTAGGTTACGCAATTAAGTAGTAAATATGTAAATTAAAAGTTTTGCTTTTACTTTTATTGCAATTTCAAAAATTCGAATTCTTATTTTCGACACGTTGCTAAATTTTCGAGTATAAATTTATGTGAAAATTTTAAACTAAGCGCATAACATACGATAGATTGATATGTTGTAAAATATGTATTATGAACAGAATATAAATATCTAGTTTTAGGTTTAATTCAAGTAGTCGTTAAACATTTAAACTAATCGTAAAAACATTGTACAAAATGCTTATAAAATTACTAAAACTTTTAATCTATTGCAGAAACTTGTAAAACTATCAGACATGATGGATTAAGTTGGGAAGAGTATTGTAAGAAATTCGACGCAGGGTGTGAAAGCCATTATGGTACCATCGCCTGCTATTGCAAACCAGGTTTAATATTTGCAAACGGTGCTTGTCTAGGTAAGTCGATCTTGCTATGTTATAAAAATTAGAACGTATATTTATTAAAATCATTGCAGGTATTTAATAGTAATGTACATTTCCTGTGTCAACCAAAATTTTCCTAAGAACATTTTTAGGCTTTTTCGTATTATTCATATTTCAAAATTTTTCCAAGGTCCGAACACAATAGGCGATTTTCAGGAAATAGGTGGACGAAAATCAGAAGCCATTTTTTTTCAGTAAATCCGTTTATTTTGTGCGTTTTGATTATTTGGTTACTCAGAATAGTTACCAGTTAATACTAAAATGAAGTAATAATAATTTCGATTATTTTCAATTAAATCAGTGGTTCTTAACCTTTTCAGAATGACGGAACGCTTACAAGTTTACAAGATTTTTTCAAAACACAATTGTAAAATAAAACAGTTTATATATTTTTTATATTGCATAATATATTAAAAATTACATACATAACAGTTTGTTATTTGTTATTGACTGATATGTAATCAGTAAATGAAATTTAAAAAAAAAAATTGTCACAATATTTTAATATGATATTTGGGCCTGATGACTTACAAATGTTTTCAATATCTGGTCTTATGTGTGAAATAGCTACTCTCATTTTTTCTTCTATATTTGTCAGCCTTTCATGTTTCTTTGTTTTAATATTTGTTAATGTTGAAAATCCAAGCTCACATAAGTATGATGTTGAAAATTTAATAAAATTTTAATCGCTTTTTCAGAAATAGTTTTAAACTCAGTTTGAACAGAAATTGAAAATTCTTCAACTGTTATTTCAGAAAATTTCATTTTGAGAGTACAATCCATTGACAATGTAACAAATTCTTCTTCTTATAACGAAAACTCATAACTTGATGTATTGACTGCAGAAAATGGATTTAATATCCAATCATATTTTTCAATATTCAGTGCGGGTAAGTATTTCACAAATTTTTCTTCTAATAATGCTAAATGCTGTGTTATAATAGTTATTATTTCATTGATAATCATATTTTGGACTGAAGGAAACATGTCTGCTGTTCTTTTTTGAATTATGTGTATTCTCCAAAGTGATTTTTGACAAGACTATGTCTTGTTTATAAAATCGTACTGCCTCCTGTTCTTATCAGCATAGAGGTATGAAGGGGTACATGTAGAGAGTTCATATTTGGCACAGACTATTAGGTGTCCAAATCATTTGCGCGTAAAAAATTCCAGACTCAAAGGTAGTCGGGGGACCGAGAATCGAGTCAAAATAAAATCCAAAATGGCGACCCTCTTCTACAAGCAGGCAAAACAGCCACCTCACCCCACCGAAGTCAGGTAGGGGAGAGTACTACCCGCAGTCATTCTAAGAAGTGAACTCTGACCTTAGGACTGAGTGCGCCTGCACGTAACCTTCACCCTTTGACCTCACTTTGCTCCTAAACTCTAACGAGAAGAGACATTTTTACTACCTTTTGATTTGACAGCTGATCTTGGATTTATGTTATATATTGATGCTGTTGTAAATATCACTCTGCTGATACAAATTAAGTAAATTATCAGTTTTTTAGTAAATTTTTAATGACAGAACAAAAGACACAGAACACGTGGTTGAGGTCAATGTGGACATCAGGGACAAGAGAGACATTTTTTCACTTCATGTTAATTAACCTTTCAAGTCGACAGCTGTGCAATCTTGGATTTATATTATATATTGACGCTATTGTAAATGTTGCATTGCCGATACAAATTAACTGTGCTACATTGCAGTTTTTTAAACAGACAAATTAAGTAAATTATTTGCCTGGATCATTTCTCAATTAATTTTACTGGCAGAACACGTGGTCGAGGTCAACGTGGATATCACAGACAAGGTAGGATGTGCCACGTACAGATTTTAGCCATGCCACTAGAGACTTTATATTAGGATTGTCGTTACATCCAATAACGTTATAATCAGGTTAAATTGTGTATTATTTTTGCAAAATAAAAATATAATTTCGGACGATACAATAGCCAGAATTATTTTTTCGAAAACAGGAAATTTTCGTTACACATTGACAAAAATTCAACCCTGCCCTTCACGAAATTTTGACATTGGATAGGGTATACCTGGATAAGTTAATTTCATCGAAAATGCATCGTGGACGACCTCATGGTCGTGGCTGGTGAAGTTTGAATGATCATGCTCAAAAGCAGCGATACCAAAGAAGATTGGAGAATGAGAACGAGACCCGCTTGAGTGTTAAAGTGATTCTGCTTAGTAGTGAGTCTCCGAGACATAGTCTTGTCCCAAATATGGCTTTGTTGTTTTACTTGTTTTTTTTTAAATATTGATAGTTTGTCAGTGGATGTTAGAATATTTTAATTTTTATCTTGCGTACCAGTATTCACATTATTTAAATAATTGAAGATGTCAGCTAAATATGCCATTTCAATACAGTAATACCCCGACTTACGCAAACCTGGAGTTACGCGATTTTCAAATCTCGTCGATTCGTCTTTTGTTTGAGCGCCACGCATCCCTTGATTACTCACTCCCCCCACACTATTGTTCAGCTTACATGTTCAGATGTGTCATGCGGAATCCACACATAGCTACAATATATTTTGTGTTATTTATTTCTGTGTTTGTTATATCTACGGAGACTTGAGACACTTTACTATGTCATCCAAACGAAGTAGAACTAATTCTTCTGCATCAAACAAGAAAAGAAAAACTTTATCTTTGGAATGTAAAGTTAACATTGGGTATGTTCGTAAAGTCGAACGAGTTAAACGAGAATGAAGTCATCGTTATTCCTATTTCGTTAGACTTTTC